CCTACCCCACGTTGATTCTTGAGGGTGGCTCCTGCCCCCCCCCCTCCCCACCCCACTCAAGACACTTTCCTCTGCCCAGGCCTTGTCCTACCCATCAAGGCAGAGCTGGAGCCTTTTAACAGTCTTAAAGTTGAGGTCGAGGAAAGTAAAGGGTCTGACTCACCACAAACTGTCCCCAGGCAGCAGGGATCCTCAGTGGGCAGGAGCAGAGCCACCTCCCCGAAATGTGGGCAGGCCTCAGGGCGGGGCCCTGGGCACTCCAGGTCCACTGGGACGATGGTGTTGGGAGCTTGGCACTGGTGCTGGCAGCATCCGCTGAGGGAGCTGTTCCAGGTCTCCCCCAGGGCCCGCGGCACCCCTGTGCTGTCGGTGCAGGCTGCAGTTGGGGGGTACGGTGGGGCACGGGGCACTGAGGCGGGCAAGGAGACCCAGACTGTCCCAGGCTAGACCCTCCCTGGGACACTGACCATCCCCAAAGTGGCCCTGGAGGAATGTAGATGGGCCTCAGCCATGGGTAGCAAGTGGGCTGAGGAGACCCTAGAGCGAGGCCAGCTTTGGAGGGCCCCACCCGGATAGAGGAAGAACCTACCGCACTTCTCCTGAGGGACGCAGAGTGCTGAGTGGCGCCGGTGCAAAAGGGTGCCCTCAGAGCAGACGCAGCCCTCGCCCAGCACCTGGCACTGCTCTGGGTCCAGTGGGCCAAGCAGCCCATCCTGGCATGTCTCCGGGGGCTCACAGGCTGCCACACATGCCTGGTATATGGAGTCACTGGAACACAGGAAGGCTGCAGGGACACAGTGGGCACCAGGCCTGGCTCAGACCCCAGGCAGAGTGAGGAGGGGCCTCAGAGCATCATCTGTGCCTCAGCAGAGAGCGCAAAGGGGTTTAGGGGCATTACCTCCCTTCTCTAGATCAGGAGGCAGCAAGGTACAACCCGTGGCCCAATTCCAGCCTCCCACCTGTTTTTGCAAATAAAGTTTTATTGAAATACAGTCACACTCATTCATCTACCTATTGTATCTGGCTGATTTTGCACTACAAGGACAGAGTTGAGTAATTGTGACGGAGACCACACAGCCTGAAAAGCTCAATTATTTACTATCTGGCCGTTTACAGGAAACATTTGCCAACCCCTTGCTCTAGGCCAGCGTTTTCAAACTTTCTTAATGGGAAAAAGCAGATTTTACATTGTGGTCCAATACACAAGTGCATGTAGAACAGTGCTCCTCAAACCTGATTGCCAAGGAGTCACTTGGGAGTTTTTGAAATACCTTTGCCAGGATCCCACTGCAGGGCAACTGAATTGGAACCTCTTGTTGTGGGGCCCAACATTAATACTTTCTGAAGTTCCTTGGTGATTTCAAAGGGGGAGCCAGGATTGAGAATTACTGATATATGAAAACAAATTTTTTTCACAAAATAATATTTAATCTTTCTAGGTGGAGTACACGCTAGCATTTTCTATTCTATTGTGTATTTTGAATGTGGTGTTGACCCCCAAAGTTGATTTCACACCCGCAGTTTGCAAACGCTCCTCTGGATGACTTAATCTTGTCATCCTTTATCCGTCATATTGTAGGTGCGGTCTTCCTGCGAGCTGTTTCCAGCTCATCTGGATGTGTTCACATTTATAAATCAAACTACTCGAGGCCAGTCTACCCCTGCCTACCCCACTAACGCAAACCTAACAGGGTGGGGAGGCGGTGGATCTCACCTCCATTCTCAGGGAAGGAGGGGAGAGACTGAAAGAAGAGAAAGATGACCAAGAATTAAGAGAAAGGAACTAACATTTCCTGGATGGTAACCATGTGGTGGGGCCATTCTGCACACACTGTCTCATGTCACCTTCAAAACAACCCTAGAGGGAGCTACTATTACTGTTCTCATTTTACAGATGAAGCAAGGAGATTCAGATAAATTAAAGAGTAATCAGATAATATTCCTTTGACTTAATATAAATTGTAATAAAAATAAATTTGTTAATGTACTTATGGATTTATTTATAAAATGTTTCTTAACTTCTTAATATGAATGAATGAATGAATGAATGAATGAATAATTAACAGGGGGTGGAAGCAACAGAAGCAATGGAGGAGTCCCCCACCCTCCCTGCTCCCCCCTCAGCCCCCTGACTCACGGCAGTAGTCGGAGCGTCTCCACTCGATGCACACGTGGAACTTGTGGCACATAGCCACATACACAGTCAGTGCCACGCAGGGCTGCTGCACGTACTTGGTGTCCCGGATCCATAGCTCACAGAACGACTCTGGGGAAACCTGGGCACGTGCATCAGATAGCCCTGCTTGTCCCGACTCCCCCCATCCCAGCATCTAGCTCCTCCTAGCCCTGTCCAGAGGCAACAACGAGCTTCTGAAGACTCCTAATCCAGTCCCAAGTTCAACACCTCTGGGGACCCACCCTCTGCAGATAGTGCTGCCATTCCTAGCCCAGGAGGTCCCCCAACACCGGACACAGTGGGTACATACAAAGCGGTGACAGGCGCTGAAGGTGCGGTTGGACACCATGCGAAGGCAGGGTGAGCAGTCAGCTGTGGCACAGCTGTCTGGGCGGAAGCGGGTCTGGCCCACCGAGGTCAGGGAGCTGGGCACCTGCCAGCTGTCCAGAAAGGGAGCAGGGTCCTCAGCCTCACCGACCACAGAACCATCCTCCAGGGTGAGGTCATTGGCTACGTCCCCATCACAGATACCTGAAATGGGGCAGAATTTTGCCGATAGCTATAATAATCACCACCACGCCCAGGTCCCCAGATGTCACTCTGCATATTTCTTACAACAATTCTTTGAGGCTGGTATTACTATTATCCTCATTTTATAGATGAGATAAACCAGGCACAGAGAAGATTAGAAACCTGCTGTGTAGGAAGATGTTGTTGTTGTCAGGAAATGCACACCAAAGAATTTAGGGATAGAGGGATACAATGTCTCAAACATACTTTCAAATTGCTCAGAAAAATGCATATATATGCAAATTGCATACACATAAAAAAGTACATATATATAAATCCTACATGTATAGATGTATTTACACATCTGCCTGCATGCATACACATGTGTGTATTTTATATACATACACACACAGAGGCAGGAAAAGTAAATGGGGCAAAATGCAAACACTTAGTATATCTGAACAAAAAGTACATGGGAGTTCTTCATACTACTTTAGACATTGTGTCAAAACGAAAGGTTACTCCAAAAAATGTGCTCTAGCAGAGATTGCTAGCTAAGTGTAACTAACACCTGTTTCCTTTTCTTCCAGGGCAGTTCCTAGCCTGTGGTTTCCAGGCTCTCCTGGGGTGGGGGAGCCCATGCCGAGTCCCAGCTGGCAGGACGAGAGTGAGGGTGAGGCAGTGACCACTGCCAGGCCTGGCCCATAAACACTTCCTAACTTTTTTTCCTGCAGTGGAGCTGGAAGCTTGTGCTGAGGATGAAAGAGCCACATGATGAACGGAGTCTCCATTTGGGAATTTACATGTGCCAGAAATCAACTTTGGCTGTGTTGAAAGGCAGGGAGACGGGAGTAGGGCAAGAGCTTGTCCGTCACAGCTTCTAACTTAACTTCCAGCTTTATCTCTCACACTCTAGGCTCCAAACACACACTTCCCTGCCTTTGACCTTGCTTACACTGTTCCCCCTGCCTGAAACACTTCCTCAGAAGTGTGTCCTTCAAATGCCCCTCACGTGCATCTGAATCCATGACCTTCCCAGTTCTGCAGAGCAGGCTTTGGTTTGCAGGTATGTCTTGCTCTGGGTGCAAAGACTCGTTTTCCTTTAGACTCACTTTCTTACTCTCTCAGTAGTCCCCCAAGTTGCCCAGCCGGGTGCCCAGGATACTAAGCGTGAATGTGGATAAAAACAGAGGAAAATTAGCCGGCTTGTGCTCCAGCCACAGGTGTCATGAATATATAGCATGATTGGCTACAAAACCTTCAGGTTTTATCAATGGTCCAGTGGCTGCGTTTTGGGTCTTGGCCTTGAGTCACAAAGGTATTCCAGGCAGGGGATCACTGCTGCCCCCGCCACTCCTTGGCAGGCATAAACAGTGGAAGGAAGAAACGGTGGCAAAGGGATGGTGGAAGTGGTGGCAGTGCTGGTGTGTGTGTGTGTGTGTGTGTGTGTGTAAAGATGTTTGTATCAATAAGTCAGTAAGGACGGAAGTTTCATAAAACAGCAATTTTGTCTGCTTTGCATACTATCTGTCCCGTGACTGGTACATGGGAAATAAATGAAAGAATGAGCGGGGACCAGACTTAAATGTGTCACTTCCTATGTAGAGGGCATTTTGAATACAAGGGTGCAAGCGTGAATGATTAAAATGGGTGCAGATTAATGGGGGGGAGGCCACGCAAGTATGTGTGTGTATAAGTGTGCCTATGTCTCCCGTCATCATAATCACGGCCATCTGTCATGGGTGTCCTGTGAGGGTGCAGCAGTCCGCACTCAGACTCTTCCTGCACCCTTTTATCTTATCAAGATACATCCAGTCCCTTAGGGCATGCGCCTACAATCACGCTGTGGTCTGAAGAGCCCTAATTTTGTGCATTGTGGCAGCTCTGCTGTGTGAGCTTAGGCAAGCCGCTTAACCTCTCTGGGCCCTCTTTCTTCTTTAGTTCAATGGCCACCTCTCAGGGTTGTTGTGTGGATGGCCTGCAATCAGTGAGATCAGAGTGTGGAAGTGCTTTGTGAAGTGCCCAGGCACATGCAGACAGGAAGGATCATCTGGTATTAGGAAGCTGTCAGGGAAGCTGACAGACAATCCGGGCCAAAGTGACAACTGGCCGAGGCCAGAGCCCCGCGCCATCTCCCTGCTGGTAGCTTCAGTCCCAGAACACAGGACATTAGGTCTCTCTTCCCTGGCAGCTCTCCTGGTGCCACCTCTGGGCTGGCACTCTGTCCTAGCTTCCCCTGATTTCACACAGAGGAACCTGTGTCTGGGGACAGAGGTGGACTCCGGAAACTCAGGGAGCTAGATCCCCTCACCTCCCACGCCACCCCAGCTGGGTCCCTCCTCACCGCAGAGGCCACGGCCCTGGGCCTCGCTGGTTTTGCTGGCCTCCAGGATCATGAGTCCTGAGCTGTGGAGCCACTGGATCTGGATGTGTGACGGCGTCCGGATCACGTACATGTGGCCTGTGTCCTCAATTCTGAATCCGTGTCTGCTCACAGGGGGCCAGACAGGCTGTGAGTCCACAGTCACCTTGTGGGGTGGGGGTGTTCAATGTGAGCACAGCTTGTCTGTCTGCCCATCCGTTCATCCATCCCTCCATCCATTTATCCAACAAACCGTATCAAGCTATGTCACAGGCTCTGTTTCAGGCACATGTGGCCAAGACACAGTCCAGGGTGGCACGGAAGAATTCTGAAACCATTTCATGAGCACAAAATGATAAAACAAGAAATACAACAGTGGGAGGCAGGCTGCATCCCTGTGCCCAAACAAACACACCCCTTGAGCCTTTCTAATCACTCTCTTCTTTCCTGATTTGCTCAGATCATTTTTTTAGGGAGATTTTCCTAAGTCTCCAGCCTCTAGCTTGGGCACCCCTTCTCTGGGCTGACCTCATCTCTGTGCTGACCGTTAAGATAGAATCTGTTCCCTCATCGAGGCATCCTGTGGACTCTGAGTTTCTTAAGGGCAAAAATTCTGTCTGATCCACCTTCGAATCCCCAGCTCTTGCCTTTGAGCCTGACATTAACTGGGGTCTCAATCAATGTTTGTGATAGAAGGAAAATTGTAAAAGCAGTCAGGAAAAAAAAAGACGCATTATGTAGGGAAACAAAGATCAGAATGACAGAAGATTTCTTATTGGAAATAAGCAAGGTGAAAGCACAACTTTATATATAGCAGCACTATTCACAATAGTCAAAAGGTGGAAACAGTCCAAACGGCCATCGATGAATGAATGGATAAAACAATGGCAGTATGTACATACAATAGAATGTTATTTAGCCCAAAATTGAATGAAGTACTGGTAGATATTACAACACAGATGAACCTCAGAAATATTATGCTAAGTCAAAGAGCAAGACACAAAAAGTCAGATATTATAGACTCCATTTATATGAAATATCCAGAATAAGCAAATCTATAGACAGAATGCATATTGGTGGTTGACAGGGGGTAGGGAGATTAATGATTAATTTTACGTTAGCTCAATTTTACCTCAATTTAAAAAGAAAAGACAGTGGAGCAAAATCTTTAAAGCACTGAAAGAAAAAATAAAGTCAACCTATAATTCTAAACCCAGTTAAAATATCTTTAAAAAATTTGGGAATGTAAGCTGGTGCAGCCACTCTGGAATACAGTATGGAGGTTCCTCAAAAAACTAAAAATAGAACTACCCTATGACCCAGCAATTGCACTACTAGGCATTTATCCAAGGGATACAGGTGTGCTGTTTCGAAGGGACATATGCACCCCCATGTTTATAGCAGCACTATCGACAATAGCCAAAGTATGGAAAGAGCCCAAATGTCCATCGATGGATATACGATGTGGTATATATATGTGTGTGTGTGTCTGTATATATATATATATGTGTGTGTGTGTGTGTGTGTGTGTGTGTGTGTGTGTGTGTATATGTATATATATACATATACACACACACACACACACATATACATATACACACACACACACGCACACATATACAATGGAGTATTACTTGGCAATCAAAAAGAATGAAATCTTGCCATTTGCAGGTACATGGACAGAACTGGAAGGTATTATGCTAAGTGAAATTAGTAAGTCAGAGAAAGACAAAAATCATATGCCTTCACTCATATGAGGACTTTAAAAGACAAAACAGATGAACCTAAGGGAAGGGAAACAAAAATAATATAAAAACAGGGAGGGGGACAAAACAGAAGAGACTCATAAATATGGAAAACAAACTGAGGGTTACTGGAGGGGTTGTGGGAGGGGGGATGGGCTAAATGGGTAAGGGGCACTAAGGAATCTACTCCTGAAATCATTGTTGCACTATATGCTAACTAATTTGGATGTAAATTTAAAAAAATAAAAAATAAAACAAGTTAAAATTAAAAATATCTTTAAAAAATGAAGGTGAGGTCAAAACTTTTTCAGATATATAAAAACTGAAAGAATTTATTACTGGAAGAACCTCACTATAAGAATATTAATGGAAGTCCTTCAGGCAGAAGAAAAGTGATATCAGATGGAAATCGAGATCTATGCAAAGGAATGAAGGACACCAGGAATGATAAATATGCAGATAATATAAACTTTTCTTATTTTAAAAACCATGCTAGAAAATAATTGACTGCTTCAGGAAAAGTAATAATGATGTAATGTGTAGTTTATAACAGATGTAGAAGTAAAATGTACAGATAATAATCCAACATAGGCAATGAAATGGAATCATTAAAAATAACCTCAAAATGGGGCACCTGGGTGTCTCAGTTGGTTAAGTGTCTGACTCTTGATTTCAGCTCAGGTCATGATCTCATGGTCATGAGATGGAGCCCTGTGTTGGGCTCTGAGCTGAATATGGGGCCTGCTTAAGATTCTCTTTCCTCCTCTCTCTCTGCCTCTCCCTCCTCAAATAAATAAATAAATAAATAAATAAATACCCAAAGAGGGCAGAAAAGGAGGAAAGGGAGGGGACAAACAGAGTACAAATACCAACATTATGTTATATACAAACCTAATCATATCGATGACTAAATTAAATGTAAATGGGCTAAGGATCTCCCAATTAAAAGGCAGAGATTCACAGATTAGATAAGAGGAAAGGAAGACCCAACTATTCACACCCTACAAAATCCTACTTTAAATAAAAAGACACACTATGTTAAAAGAAAAAGGATGGAAAAAGATGTCTCTTAGACATATACATTAAATATACATGCTAACACAAATCAAAAGAAAACTGGAGAAGCTATTACAGACAATTCAGACAAAGCAAAATTCAGAACAAGGACTTTTACCAGGAGAAAAAGGACATTTCATACTGATAAAGGAGTTAATTCAACAAGAAGGAATAACAATCTTAAGTATTATGCACCAAATAACAATTTAAAAATAGGTGAATAAAAAACTGATAAAACTCCAAAGAAAAATTGACAAATTAACAACTTTAGTCAAAAATTTCAACATCTTCTCTTTCAATGATTGATAGAACAAATAGGAAATGAGTAAGGATGTAGAGACCTGAACAACACTATCAGTCAACTTGACCTAACTGACATTCACAGAATACTCCACTCAACAAGAGAATATACATTTACAAGATAGAGTGTATTCTGGTACATAAAACAAGTCTCATTAAATTTAAAAAGGTCAAAGTTAGATTAAATGTTCTCTGAACACAGTGAAATTAAATTAGAAATCGGTAATAGAAAGGTATCTGGAAAATCACCAAATATTTGGAAACTAAAGAAAAACACTTGTAAATAACCCATGGATTAAACAAAAATCAAAGGGAAAATTTTAAAGTATTTTAAACTTAATGAAAATGAAAATACAAGATATCAAAATTTGTAAGATGCTGCTAAATCAGACCTAAAGGGAAAATTGTGGCACTAGATACTTATATTAGAAAGAGCAGAAAGGTCTCAAATCAGTGACCTAGGCTATAACCTTAATAAACTAGAAAAAAAAAGAGTAAATTAAACCCAAAGGAATCAGAAGGAATAAAATAATAGACATAAGAGCAAAAATCAATGAAATAGAAAACAGAAAAACAGCAGAGAAAACCAATAAAAACATTCTTTGAGAAAAACAATAAACCTGACAAAACTCTAGCCAGACTGGTGAGGAAAAAGAGAAAAGACAGAAATTACTAATATCAGGAATGAGACAGGGTACATGGATACAGATCCTATGGTATAGCAAGGATATCCTAAAAGGATAACAAGAGTGTACGATGAACAACTTAATGCCTAGAAATTTGACAACGTGGATAGAATGGACATATTCTGTGAAAATGAAAACTACCCCAGCCTACTAAAGAAAAAATAGGTAACCAGAATAGCCCTATATCATTTAAAAAAATTGAATATGTACTTAAAAACCTCCCCCAAAGAAAACTCCAGACCCAGATGGCTTCATTGTTGAAGTCTATCAAATATTTAAGGGAAAATATGAAAATTACCAATTATACACAAACTTTTTCAGAAAATTAAAGAGGGGGAATACTTCTAATTCATTATTGAGGCCGGCATTACTCTGATACCAAAACTAAACTAATACATTACAAGAAAAGAAAATTTAGACTAAAATATACCTCATGAAGATCCAACAACATATAACAAGGCTAATATATCTCAACCAAATAAAGTTAATTCCAGGAATGCAGCACTAGTGCAACATTTGAAAGTCGTAGTAATTCAACACATTAATAGTCTAAAGAAGACCAATGGAATATTATTCAGTGGTAAAAAGAAATGAGATATCAAGCCATGAAAAGCCGCGGAGGAACCTTGAATGCATATTGCTAAGTGAAAGAAATCAATCTGAAAAGACTACATACTATATGGTTCCAACTCTGTGGCATTCTGGAAAAGCAAAACTGTGGAGACAACAAAAAAGATCAGTGGTTGGGTGGGGGCTGGCGACCAACTGGCAGAGCACAGAGAATTTTTCAACCAGTGGAAATACTCTGGATGATATTATAATGATGGATAGATGTCATTACATATGTACCCAAACCCATGTGGAAAACCAAGAGTGACCCCTGAGGTAGGTAGACTATGGACTTCAGGTGATGATGATGTGTCAATGTAGATTCATTCACCTTGGTAACAAATGAACTCTGGTGATTGAGGCTGGTAATGAGGGAGGCTATGCATGTGTGGGTACAGAGGGTATATGGGAAATCTCCATATGTTCCTTTCAATTTTGTTGTGAACCTGAAACTGCTCTAAAAGAGTTAAATCTTTAAATTTTTTTTTTTAACATTTATTTATTTTTGAGACAGGGAGAGACAGAGCATGAACAGGGGAGGGTCAGAGAGAGAGGGAGACACAGAATCTGAAACAGGCTCCAGGCCCTGAGCTGTCAGCACAGAGCCCGATGCAGGGCTCAAACTCACGGACCGTGAGATCATGACCTGAGCCGAAGTCGGATGCTTAATCGACTGAGCCACCCAGGCGCCCTAAAAGAGTTAAATCTTTAAAAAAAATAGTCTGAGGAATGATTACAATAAAAGGCCAAATTGCAATGCCTCTCCCAGC